CATTTTGGGGGTGAGGATGAGCTATGTGGTGCTGAGCTTTCTGCCAGGATAAAGCACAAGATGCTTGACAACCACAATCCAACAGCACAAATCACACTTTAAAAAATCAGTCTCTGACATCTACAGAGAGAAGCCTTCCTCTGACTCTGATCCTGTCTCTGCAAAGGCAGTGCCCGTGTGCAGGGGTGCAGAGGAAAAGAGTCCCATCCCAGCAGCATGGCCAGGGAGCACCAGTGCTTGGGACATGCAGAGCTGCTCTCTTGCCACTGCCACCCTGTCCACAAAATTTTGGGGTGGTACAAGAGCTGCTGGGCACATTGTGCAGGGTTCGCCTACAGCCTTTGTGTTCTTTTCTATCCTGACTTAGGTGCCATGTCAGTCTCTAGAAAGGAGTAGCCAACAGATATGAGACAGATACACTGAGATCATGAAAGCCATCAGAAAGCTGCCCCTAAGATGATGACTGATATGGGGAAGTCAGGAGAAGCCTGGCCAGGAGAGATGTGAGATTTGGAGGAGGGAGAAGGAGTTTGGCCAGCAGAAATTAATGATTTCTGTGAGGTTAGAATGTTCAGGCAATGTTGATTCTTCACTAACGGTGACATAAAATAGTCATGTAAAGCCCTTCCCCTAATTTAACCAGTGACATTAATCTACAATCCTAAATGCTACTCCACAGGATTCTGACAGGATTCCTGACAGGAATCCACTACTCTTATGCTTGACCTCAAAGTATCCATTGAAGTAAAAATTCAACCCATAGCCCCTCTCATTTATCTTTACTCTCTTGCTCACCCTGATCTGATCAGCTTGTGGGCCACAAGGAGGAGATGGGTGGGGATGCTCAGAGGAGCTCAGCTCTGCCTCAGCATCTCTTGCCCCAGCAGGAGGAATGTGACTGTGGCAGGGACTGTGAGGTCACTTTTGTCTCTGCACTTGATAGGGCAGCAGCAGGAACATGTCAGGGAAAGGGACTGGGAGGTCACTTGTGTCTGGAGGTAGCAGGTCACCCTTTGCTTCTCCCTGGGAGCTGCACTTTTGGGCTGACATCTGGCAGTGGCCCTGCTAGGCCAGCAGAAGGCACCTGCTTGGCATGCTGACTGGGGGATCCCCTCTGCCTACACACCCAGGAGGACCCAGGCAGAAAGAAGGCCCCACGATGGGTTGTCCTGTCCCTTCTGCTTGAGTCCATGACTGCACAGCAGGAGGCACAAGGCTTGGCTGTGTCTAGCCAAGAAGCTGCAAGGCCAGCAGCAGGCCCCTGGCTTGGAAGCTGCTGCTGAGGTGACTTGTGTCTGGTTGGCTGAGAGGCCGCAAGGAGCCTGCTGGGTTGGGATGCCTACTTCAGGAGTGGTTTCCACTCTGAGGGAGCTTTCTTTGGTAGTAGGAAATAGCAGGAGAGAAAAAAGTGCTACAAAATGTGCATTGGAAGGATGGCACTGGCCATGAGGAGGAAGAAATTACTGGGGGAACAACTGTTTTTTTTTGCTAGTAACAGAGGTAAAGAAGGCATTAAGTGTCTCAGCCTATACCTCATTCCTTATCACCAGGTTTTCCCCCCAAAATCCAATAAAGCATTATGATTCTCCCTAATCCTCCTTCATTTAAACTATTTTTATTTTATTTTTATTTTTATTTTTATTTTTATTTTTATTTTTATTTTTATTTTTATTTTTATTTTTATTTTTATTGTCTGTAACAGTAATAGATGGATGGAGCTCCAGCTGGGCTTTGGCCTGTCCAGTTTTGACCTGCACAGCCCCATAACATTCAGGACACGACTACAGAGAAACTGACAGCATGCATGAGAAGAAAGCACAGCAAATGTGGAACCTGACAGCCTTCCATCCCCTACCCTTCTGTGACTGTGCTGAAATGCCATTTAGCCGGTTACTCCTGAATTATCCAAATTTCCCTGCAACCCTTGCTGCTGCTGCTGTCTGGTCAGATATAACACAATTACACGAAGGTTGAACTGTCTGCCTGCTGACATTAACAGCTGATAGAATGGAACATCACTGTGGGTGAACCTTGAGAATCTACAGGATTTTGACGTCAGAAAGCTCTTGACTTTCACATGGAGAAGAGCCCAGTCCTGTACCAGAGGAAGAGAAACCCCACACATCAGGGTAGAGTGGGATCCTGTTGAGCAAGCAGTGCCCAGGAAGAGGAGGGCCTGGGCACCATGAGAGATGCCATACGAGTAGTGGTGCCTACTCATGAGGAACCAGGCCAGCTTCCTACAGAGCTGCCTTATGAGGAGCATGGCCACCAAGAAGATCTGAGTTATCACGCTCAGCTCAGATCTGCTGTGACACCACAGAGATAATGGTCTGCAGACAAAAAGGAAAGATGTGGAGGTCTGGGAGTCCCTAGGAAAGCCATGTCTAGACAGGGTAGAGGGCTGTGACAAGTCTGAAAGTCCTAACAGGACCCAGGTCGTTGTGTCCATGGCTATCCCTGTTGTCTCTGCCACTGACGCCCATGAGGAGACAGCTTCTCATTGAAGAACCAGGGCTTCATAGCTTCCTTGCCCCCACCCATGAACCAGGCAGGGGTCGTACCATTCTCCTGTACTTGACAATGCATATCCCCATCTCCTACTGCCCCACAAAGAGCCCTGAGCAACCTGTCAAGGAAAGGATCTCCCTTCCAAAGCACTTGGGGTCAAGGCCTGGCCCTTGTGCTTGCTGACACACGTTCAGTTTGTCTACACCTCAGTGTCACCTTCACATTGCCTTTGTCTCCTTGTCCTCACTGCCTCCAGGGTTCTGCTCTAACCAGCTCCAAGGGAGGCTGTGTCAGTGCTGGCCCTCAGGGGGATACTGCGGGAAACTTGCTTCTGACTTGCACTTCTGGAGAGATGTCTTCAATTGTCTCTGAGTGCCTGAGGTTCGTGGGCTCATCAGCAAAGCCCCCAGAGGGGTGATTGCAGTGCCTTGGGCTGGTGCTGTGCTGCTGAGCTGGGCCGGGCTTGTGGGACAGGGAAAACACGTTTCAAATAGTCCCATGAAGCAGAGAGACAGCTGTGCCTAGGTGCAGCTCCTCTGCACAACCCAGTAGGGCTGGGGGCTCTGACCGCAGCTGGCACACAGAGAGGAGAGAAGGAGAGAGGGCTTGGAGGCACTGAGGAGCGCAACAACAGAGGGCAGCGTGTGGCAGGACACATCTGCAGGCTCTTGACACCGTGAGGCTCTGGCAGCAGGGCCATGCAGGTGGGGTTGCCAGAGGGGTCTTCTACAGCTGGCACATCTGATGGCTGATAGCATCTGTCAGGATGGGTCTTATTCTACTTGTAATGTGGCATACAAGATGTTTTAGGGAATGGTATTTTTGAGGGGGCATTTTAGCACGAAGTCTGAGGCTTGGTTTATCTGAAATGGAAGACTTGCTTGGATTCTGTGCTTTCAGATACTTGGTGTGGAGGGGAGGCAGGGTTCATGACAATGAATTGTCTGGATTGTACAGGAGACTGAGACTCCAAGAGTATTGCAGGGAGCGATCAACACGGCAGCAATTAACATGATCAAATCCCTTCAGGCTCCTCAGCCTAAAGACTGAAACAACAACGTTTGTTATCTCCTCAGGGTTTATCAGGTCTTCAGGAGCTGCAACCTCCGTGATGCCCTGTACTCAGGAAGCACAAAGCTTGTGGGATGGGGTCTGTGAGCAAGGACATGGAAGATACGTGGGGACAGAGATCCTGTTTCCAGCAGGGACATAGGAAGGCAGTAGAGATATGAGCAGGGCAGGCGGTGAGAGGGAGCTGCTGCCAGAAATGCTGTGCGAGGGAGGGCTCAGGCACCTCCCTGCCATCCCTTGCAGGGCAGGCGCCTTCCCTGGGACACCCCCTGCTCTCCTTTCCCACCAGCACAGCCTCTGCCCTCAAGCCCCCTGTGTCCCCAGCAGGAGCTGCCTCCTCTGCAGGCAGAGCTGCAGCACAGGAGGGTCTGCTGAGTGTCCGTCTGTCCCTCCCTGGCCTTGCCTCCCCTGGCAGCAGCACGCTGGCATTCCTGCTGACTTCTCCAGCAGGCCGTGCTGCTGCTGGTCTTGTTTCCAGGCTGGTTGGGGATGGGGCATTCACATGCCCATGGACTGAGCCCTCGGTGTGCTTGGGGGAAAGGGGAGTATGGGGACAGGGTGAGGGGTGTGCAGATATTCACTTTGATCCTGGATTCCTCTGCTCTCAGCTGTGTCCTGGTTCTTTTCAGGTAAGGATGTGAATGTCATTGTCATACCGTTCAAAGAGATGCCAGAGGAAACCAGACTTGATGGACAGACTGTCTTTCCCCTCTGAATTACATTCTGGACTAAAGGGGCCGTCCTTTTCTATGAAGATCCAGGTTTCACCTGGAGTGTAGCAGGAAGGAAAATATACAGAAAAGAAAATCCTACAACCCTGCTTCCTCCCAGGAGAATTGGAAACAAAACTGTGGATAATCACATATCGGTAAAGAATTGAATCTGGCATTACCCTATGTCTTTCTTCATCTGTTATTGTAGAGTAGGAATACCTCCTGCATTGCCAAAGCAGAATCCTCTGCTCCCAGGGACACCCTCAGGCAGAATTGGGCAGAACTCATGAAAGGGACTTGCCAAACATGTGCTTGAATTGGGCCTTACAATAGGATAATTCTGTTGTATTTCCTTACTGTATTTTTCCTCCTTAGACAGGACCAATGTCCAGAACCAGCAAATGTGTAACAGCAGCTCTGTGAGCGAGTTCCTCCTGCTGGCATTCTCAAACAAGCATGAGCTGCAGCTCCTGCACTTCGCGCTCTTCCTGGGCATCTACCTGGCTGCCCTCCTGGGCAACGGCCTCATCCTCAGCGCCGTAGCCTGCCACCACCGCCTCCACACCCCCATGTACTTCTTCCTCCTCAATCTCGCCCTCCTCGACCTGGGCTGCATCTCCACCACTCTGCCCAAAGCCATGGACAATGCCCTCTGGGACACCAGGGCCATCTCTTATCAAGGATGTGTTGTACAAGTACTCTTTTTAGTCTTCTTCATTGGAGCAGAGTATTCACTTCTGACCGTCATGGCCTATGACCGCTACGTTGCCATCTGCAAGCCCCTGCACTACGGGAGCCTCCTGGGCAGCAGAGCTTGTGCCCAGATGGCAGCAGCTGCCTGGGGCAGTGGCTTTCTCCATGCTGTCCTGCACACGGCCAACACATTTTCCCTGCCCCTCTGCCAAGGCAATGATGTGGACCAGTTCTTCTGTGAAGTCCCCCAGATCCTCAAGCTCTCCTGCTCATCTGTCCACCTCAGGGAAGGTCGGCTTCTCATGTTTACTACCTGTTTAACCACTGGATGTTTTGTTTTCATTGTGGTGTCCTATGTTCAGATCTTCAGGGCAGTGCTGAGGATTCCCTCTGAGCAGGGCCAACACAAAGCCTTTTCCACGTGCCTCCCTCACCTGGCCGTGGTCTCCCTGTTTGTTAGCACTATCATATTTGCCCACCTGAAACCTCCCTCCATCTCTTCCCCATCCCTGGACCTGGTGGTATCATTTCTGTACTCAGTGCTGCCTCCAGCACTGAACCCCCTCATCTACAGCATGAGGAACCAGGAGCTCAAGGATGCAGTCAAGAAACTGTTTCCATACATGCTTCTTCAGAGTCAGTAATGCCTTTCATTTCCCAGTTCATTAAAGAATTTATTAGGAAAATATTTTGTTGATTTGTTTTTACAATTAATGTAAGTTTCTTGGGTTTGATTTAAATAAATGTATTTTTAACATCTTGTAATTTTTTTTTCAATTTCTTTTATCCAGTCATCTAATATAGCTAAAGAAGCAAGCTTAATGCATACATAAAGACAATAACAAATCCCTCAGAATATCATTCATCTCAATTTCCCTCTCTTCCCATCTCCTCTGGAGCTGGAGAAGCAGCCCCAGCACGCAGGAAGGGCTCGGGGCCAAGAGCCCAGCTGCCACATGCAGGAGCAGCCCCGGTGGCCCTCAGGGCTGCCCCTCACTGCCCGCTGGGCTCTGCCTCTCTGCTGCCTTCTGGTCGGGGCTGCTGCTTCCCTGGAGCCATGGCCATGGCCAGCAGCAGGACGTGGCCTTGTCACTGCTGCTCTCTTTTGGCTTCCACATTATGGTTTTTGTATCCATGTAAGCCCTGGTATCTTGTGTACCTTGGCGACATGTTCTCTCTGCAGTGGCATCCCTGTCCCTGCAGGCAGCAGTAGGCACTGTGCAGCCCTGGGTTACTGCTGCCTCCATGCTAACACCACAGTCACAGGAGGGTCTTTCTCAGTGCAAACTGAGAGCCTTGAGCACCTCTGCCGAATGTGCTATCAGGAACACAGACAAGGGGTTGCTCCCTGCTCTTCTGTTTCCTGGGGTTCTTCATGGAGTGAAGGACACAGGATGAAAGTCCCAGGGTGGCCTGTTGTCCTGGTTTCAGTTAGCACAGAATTAATTTTCTTCCTAGTAGCTGGTGGAATGCTGTGTTTTGGCTTAGGATGAGAAGAGTGCTGATAACACCCCGATGCTTTAATTGTTGCAGAGCAGTGCTTATACTAAGCCAAGGACATCTCAGCCTTTTGCTCTGTCCTGCCAACGGGCAGGCTGGGGGTGTAGTAAGAGCTGGGAGGGGACAGACCCAGGACAGGTGACCCAAACTAGCCAAAGGGGTATTCCATACCATCTGACGTCATGCTAAACAATATATAGGGGTGGCTAGCTGGGGGGAGGGGGCTGGACTGCTCGGGGTTAGGCTGGGCATCGGTCAGCGGGTGGTGAGCAATTGCATTGTGCATCACTTGTTTGTACATACTATTACTTTCGTATTATCACCATTGTATCATTATTATTATTATTGTTATTATTATTTTGTTATTATTATTTTCCTGTCTTATTAAACTGTCTTTATCTCAACTCACGGGCTTCACTCTCCATTTCTCTCCCCCGTCCCAGAGAGGGAGGGGGGAGGGTGAGCGAACGGCTGCGTGGTGTTTAGCTGCCAGCCGGGTTAAACCACGACAGCCTTTTTGGCGCCCAACGTGGGGCTCGAAACGGCAGATCTGATCAGAGTGTGTTAAACTAAAATTGGTGTAAGGATTAGACCTGCTTAATAGTCACTTGTCATGATGCTGATTGCTTTAATTTCAACTCTGCTGCGCCTGTTTTCCAAATTGAGTATTATAGTACATTATTTTCCGTATTTTCTCTCTGTAGTGTTGTTTATCCTCTCTGGGCCCTGGTTTCAGATCATTATGGTACTGAGTATTATAGCAATGGCTTATGAGACGATAAGATATCTGGTCATGACTCTAACTTGGTATTCATACTCAGTAACATCGTGGACTCTGTACTTTGGAAACAGTATCTTGGGAACTATTAGCAATTATACCTATTGTTTTTCTCCATTAGAGAGTCAGTCTGTGGAGGGAAAAGGGGAAGATAATTTTTCTTACTTGATTACTCTCCCTTTCTCCTTCACCACCCCTGTATCCTCCTGGATCACTCTGCCTTCTCCCTCAAAATATCTGCCTTCCTCCTTCACCACCCTCTTATCCCCTGAGCTTGTCAAAATAGCTCTCCAAGATATTGAATATTATTGGGATACTCGGAATACCATAGTCTTGTTGTTCTGCCTCATGAATGCACTTCAGATTCTGCTTAAAGTTAAACAACTACTTGGGGAGCTCATCCGGAGATCTGCCCGGAGGCAGGATAGTTGTGGGTGGCAGGGAGTATGGGTGGATATGGGCAGGCATCTAGAGCAGTTGGCACCCCCAGTGTGTTGGAAATTCACCCCTGAACAATGGCAAAATCCTCAAAAACTGGCAGAATGCTTGAAAAAAAGGTGTCATGATTCTGGCAGTTCCAAAGTAACACAAATCATTGTAACGTGCTGGGGCCTGGCTCATGCCTATCGAGCTGCCATTGATACTGCTATCAACTTAGTGACAGACCCTGCGGCCACTCCAAGCCCTGTGACAGATCCAACGGCCACTGTGACCCCTACGGTGGATTCTGCAGCCGCTCCAGCCCCAGCTCCTGCAGCCACTCCAGATCCGGTTCCTGCAGCTGCTCCAGCTCCAGCTCCAGCTCCTGCAGCTGCTCCAGTCCCAGCTCCTGCAGCCGCTCCAGTCCCAGCTCCTGCAGCTGCTCCAGTCCCAGCTCCTGCAGCCGCTCCAGCTCCTGCAGCCGCTCCAGTCCCAGCTCCTGCAGCCGCTCCAGTTCCAGCTCCTGCAGCCGCTCCAGTCCCAGCTCCTGCAGCCGCTCCAGCTCCAGCTCCTGCAACTGCTCCAGCTCCAGCTCCTGCCGCTACTCCAATCCCAGCTCCTGCAGCCGCTCCAGCTCCAGCTCCTGCAACCGCTCCAGCTCCAGCTCCTGCCGCTACTCCAGTCCCAGTTCCTGCAACTGCTCCAGTCCCAGCTCCTGAAGCTGCTCCAGCTCCAGCTCCTGAAGCCGCTCCAGCTCCAGCTCCTGTAGCCGCTACAGCTCCGGTTCCTGCAACTGCTCCAGCTCCTGTGGCCGTGTCAGGGAAACGAGCTGTAGCAGTGCAGGTTGACCCTGCAGAGGGTATTCCAACCCCTGTAACGGGGTCAGAGAAACGAGCTGTAGCAGTGCAAGTTGACCCTGCAGAGGGCATTCCAACCCCTGTGCCAGACCCTGTAACAAAGTCAGAGAAACGAGCAGTAGCAGTGCAAGCTGCCCCTGTAGAGAAGGTGAAAATATGGTATAGAAATTCAAGTCGTTTAGAACGCAGAGAGTCTTCTGCCAATCCAGGTAAGGCTTCTGCCAAAACTAAGTATAGAGATGACGAAGATGATGACGACGCTGGGCCATCAAGGATTCAGGAGGAGGAAGATGAGGATGCCGAAAAAGCAACAGTAACTACCCGAAGCCTAAACGAGCGCGAGCTACGAGATGTGCGAAAAGATTTTGGTCGCTGTATAGGTGAGCAGCTTGTCACCTGGCTGCTCCGGTGCTGGGACTCTGGAGCCAATTGTGTGGAATTAGACGGCAGGGAAGCCAGACGGTTGGGATCCCTTGCTCGAGACGCCGGCATTGACAAAGCAATTGCAGATGGAGCACAATCCACCAGCCTCTGGAGGCGTCTCCTCTCAGCTGTGAGGGAAAGGTATCCCTTCAAGGAAGATATTTTATGTCTACCAGGCAAGTGGACCACTATGGAGAAGGGAATCCAGTACCTGAGGGAATTAGCCGTACGGGAAGTGATTTATGAGGATCCAGACCTCAGACAAACATCCAAAGATCCAGATGAAGTCAAGTGTACACGACCCATGTGGCGGAAGTTTGTACGGAGTGCACCATCATCATATGCCAGCTCATTGGCAATAATGGCCTGGAAAGAGGATGAGGAACCCACAGTGGATGAAGCGGCTAAACAACTCCGGCAGTACGAAGAAAGTCTCTCCTCTTCCTTACAGGCCTGCGTCTCAGCTGTGGAGAAACTTTCTGAAAAGGTTCACCAACTTGAAGAGAATCTATTGTCCTCCCCACCTGAACCAACCAGTGTCCAACGACCAAAAGAGAACACTTGGGAGAAACTTTCTGAAAAGGTTCACCAACTTGAAGAGAGATTATTCTCCTCCGCACCTGTACAAAGCAGTGTCTCAGCTGTCAGGGGTAGGCGTTCACCCACACAAGGAAGACGATATGGTGGGTACTCACCCCGTGCCACCCTGTGGTTTTACTTACGAGACCATGGAGAGGACATGAGAAAATGGGATGGAAAATCACCGCGACCCTAGAGGCACGGGTACGTGAGTTGCAAAAGAAAACAATCAGGAAAAAGGGATTCTCCGAAAAGTTTGCTGCTCCAACTTCCAGCAGACAGTCCTTCAAACACAGAAACGAGGAAGATTCTGACCAGGACTAGGGGGGCCCTGCCTCCAGCCAGGGGGAGGAAAGGGACAATTGAGTTTATTGGACTGTGTGGATTCAATGGCCTGGCACGTCACACGCACAGAAGTATAAGGCTTTAGTAGACACCGGTGCACAATGTCCTGTAATGCCATCGAGCTATAAAGGGCCAGAGCCCAACCATATTTGTGGAGTGACAGGGGGATCTCAGCAGTTGACTGTATTGGAGGCTGAAGTGAGTCTGACTGGGAATGAGTGGGAAAAGCACCGCGTTGTGACTGGCCCGGATGCTCCATGTATCCTTGGCATAGACTATCTTAGAAGAGGATATTGCAAGGACCCAAAAGGGTTCCGGTGGGCTTTTGGTATAGCTGCCTTAGAGACAGAGGGCATTAAACAATTATCTACCTTGCCTGGTCTCTCAGAGGACCCCTCTGTTGTGGGGTTGCTGAGGGTCGAAGAACAGCAAGTGCCAATCGCTACCACAACTGTGCACCGGCGGCAATATCGCACCAACCGAGACTCCCTGATCCCCATCCATAAGCTAATTCGTCAATTGGAGAGCCAAGGAGTGATCAGCAAGACCCATTCACCTTTCAATAGTCCCATATGGCCAGTGCGAAAGTCTAATGGCGAGTGGAGACTAACAGTGGACTATCGTGGCCTGAACGAAGTCACGCCACCACTGAGTGCTGCATTGCCGGACATGCTGGAACTTCAGTATGAACTTGAGTCAAAGGCAGCCAAGTGGTACGCCACAATTGATATCGCTAATGCATTTTTCTCCATCCCTCTAGCAGCAGAGTGCAGGCCACAATTTGCCTTCACTTGGAGGGGAGTCCAATATACTTGGAATCGGCTGCCCCAGGGGTGGAAACACAGCCCTACCATTTGCCATGGACTGATCCAGTCTGCGCTAGAGCAGGGGGAAGCTCCTGAACACCTGCAGTACATCGATGACATTATTGTGTGGGGTGACACAGCAGAGGAAGTTTTCGAGAAAGGGAAGAAAATAGTCCAAATCCTTCTGAAAGCCGGTTTTGCCATAAAACAAAATGAAGTCAAAGGACCTGCACGAGAGATCCAGTTTTTAGGAATAAAATGGCAAGATGGGCGTCGTCAAATCCCAATGGATGTGATCAACAAAATTAAAGCTATGTCTCCACCAACTAACAAAAAAGAAACACGGACTTTCCTAGGTGTTGTGGGGTTTTGGAGAATGCACATCCCAAATTACAGTCTGATTGTAAACCCACTCTACCAAGTAACCCGTAAGAACAATGAGTTTGAATGGGGCCCTGAGCAATGACAAGTGTTTGAACAAATCAAGCAGGAAATAGTCCATGCAGTAGCCCTTGCGCCCTTGGTCCAAACAGGACCACATGTAAAGAATGTGCTCTACACTGCAGCCGGGGAGAACGGCTCCACCTGGAGCCTCTGGCAGAAAGGACCTGGGGAAACCTGAGATCAACCCCTGGGGTTTTGGTGTCAGGGATACAGAGGATCTGAGGCCCGCTATACTCCAACTGAAAAGGAGATATTGGCAGCATATGAAGGAGTTCGATCTGCTTTGGAGGTGGTCGGTACTGAAGCGCAGCTCCTCCTAGCACCCCGATTGCCGGTACTAGGCTGGATGTTCAAGAGAAGGGTCTCCTCTACACATCATGCAACTGATGCTACATGGAGCAAGTGGGTTGCACTGATTGCTCAGTGGGCTCGAATAGGAAACCCCAGTTGCCCAGGAATCTTGGAAGTGATTATGGACTGGCCAGAAGGCAAATACTTTGGGATATCATCAGAGGAGGAGGTGGGTCGTGCTGAAGAAGCCCCATTGTACAACCAGTTGCCAGAGAATGAAAAGAAATATGCCCTGTTCACTGATGGGTCCTGTCGTATTGTGGGGAAGCATCGGAGATGGAAGGCTGCTGTATGGAGTCCTACGCGACGAGTTGCAGAAGCTGCTGAGGGAAAAGGTGAATCGAGTCAGTTTGCAGAAGTGAAGGCCATTCAGCTGGCTTTAGACATTGCTGAACGAGAAAAACGGCCGGTTCTCTATCTCTACAACGATTCATGGATGGTAGCAAATGCCCTGTGGGGATGGTTACAGCAATGGAAGCAAAACAACTGGCAGCACAGGGGCAAACCCATCTGGGCTGCTGCGTTATGGCAAGATATTGCTGCTCGGGTAGAGAACCTGGCTGTAAAAGTACGCCACGTAGATGCTCATGTGCCCAAGAATCGGGCTACTGAAGAACATCAAAACAACCAGCAGGTGGATCAGGCTGCTAAGATTGAAGTAGCTCAGGTGGACCTGGATTGGCAGCATAAAGGTGAATTATTTATAGCCCGATGGACCCATGACCTTGATCAGCTCCAGGGATGGGGCATCCACAGCTTCTCTGGGCAACCTGTTCCAGTGCCTCACTTCCCTCTGAATGAAGAATTTTCTCTTAACTTCTAATCTGAATCTGCCCTCATTTAGCTTAGAACCATTCTCCCTTGTCCTGTCATTATCTGATTGAGCAAAGAGTCACTCTCCATCTTTTTATACTCCCCCTTGAAGTACTGAAAGGCCACAAAGAGGTCACCCCGGAGCCTTCTTTTCTCCAGGCTGAACAGCCTCAGCTCTCTTAATCTTTCTTCACAGGAGACATGCCCCAGCCCCTTGATCATCTTTGTGGCCCTCTTCTGGACCTATTCTAACAGATTCACATCCTTGTGCTGGGGGCCCAGTCCTGGATGCATCACTTCAAGTGGGGCCTCACAAGGGCAGACAGAGTACAAGGAGTAGAAGCAGAATTAACTTCCCTCTACCTGCTGGCCACTCCTCTGCTTATGAAGCCCAGGATGCAGTTGGCCTTCTGGGCTACAAGCACAGAATGTACTTTCTCACTCTCTTACTGTTGATCTCATTGTCTGTCATAGATAAAGATATTAAACAGCACCAGTCCCAGGACAGATCCTGAGGTACAACACTTGTCACCAGCCTCCATTTGGACGTAGAGCCACTGAGCACCACTCTCTGGATGTGACCTTCAGGCCAACTCCTTATCCACTGAATGGTTCACCCATCAAATGCGTATCTCTCCAATTTGGAGACCGGGATGTCATGTGGGACCATGGCAATGGTCTTACTGAAGTCCAAGTAGATGACATAGGCTAGTCTTCTCTTGTTGTCTGATGTGATCACTCCATTGTAGAAAGCCATCACATTGGTCAGGCACGATTTGGCCTTTGGTGAAGCCATGCTGGCTGTCTGAGATCACCTCTTTGTCTTGCATGTGCCTTGACATCGATTCCAGGAGGATCATTTCCATGATCTTTTGAGGCACAGAGGTGAGGCTCACCATTCAATAGTTCCAAGGGTTCTCATTTCTACCCTTTTTAAAAATGGGAGTGATGTTTCCTTTTTCCAGTCAACAGGGATTTCACCTGCTGAGGACCTCAGGACCCTGGGATGCATGTCACCAAGCCCCATAGACTTGCATGTGCTCAGTTTCTTCAGGTGGACTCAGACCTCCTCTTTACTTAGAGCAGGAGGGACTTTGCCCCCCAGCCTGCATCGATGGGTTCAGGGAAGTGAAAGACTTGGGAAGCCTGACTGGCAGGGAAGATTGAGGCAAAGATGTTGTTGAGTCCCTCAGGCTTCTGCATGTCTGTCATTATCAGTTCACCTTTCTCATCTATCAGAAGGGGATACACTGTCCTTGGCCTTTCTTTTCTGAGCAAAGTACCTATAGGATCTCTTCCTGTTATTACTTGCATCCCTTGAGAAGATCAGTTCAATCCATGGCTTGGATTTTCTTATGCCATCCCTGCAAATCCAAAACTAAAACATGTGAGAGGGCCTGCAAAAAGTAACCCTGGATCCACAGAAGCCTCTTGGGAAACAAAACTTGTAATTAGGAATTGTGATTTTCCGGAGGTGCAGAGCTGATGGGCACATTGTGCAGGATGCACCTAAAGATCTTTGTGTCCTTTTCCCTCCTGACTACAATGCCACTTCCTTCTCAGGAGTGGAGGAGCCAACAGAGGTGAGACAGACACACTGAGATGGTAAATGTCATCAGAAAGCTGATCCCAGTAAGATGTGGGGAGGTCAGGAGCAGCCTGAACAAGACATATGAGATTTTGGGGTGGGAAGAGGATCATGGCCAGAAGAAATTAATGATTTCATACAGGTAAGAACATTCATGCAATGCCGATGCTGCAGTAACACTGACTTAAAACAGTCACATATGGCCCTTACCTTACTGGGAACAGTACTTTTATTCCCCAAACCTAAATACTCTGAAAGGAAGCAATTTTCTCTCTTGATTACTCTAATCCCTTCCCTTAACACTAACATTAAAATGCTCTATTTAACCCTAGACTCCCTGGCAGACGTAAAACATCCCTAAACCACAGAGCTTGTCCATACCTTAACCACAGACCTGACACCACAAGCAGAACACCAAACACTCCCACTAAAACTTTGTTTAATCTCTAACCCAGAAAGTAAAAAAGAGATACCAAGGGGACTAGAGAAAGCTCAGTTCTGCCTCAGGATCTCCTGCCACAGCAGGAGCAATGTGACCGTGGCAGTGACTGTGAGGTCACTTCTGTCTCTGCACTTGATAGGACAACAACAGGATCATGTCACGCAAAGGGACTGTGAGGTCACTTGTGTCTAGAGGTGGCAGGTCACCCTTGCCTTCTCCCTGGGAGCTGCACTTTTGGGCTGACATCTGGCAGAGGCCCTGCTAGGCCAGCAGAAGGCACCTGCTTGGCATGCGGACTGGAGGATTCCCTCTGCCTCCAGACCCAGGAGGACCCAGGCAGAAAGAAGGCCCCCATATTGGTTGTCCTGTCCCTTCTGCTTGAGTCGATGAGTGGGCAGAAGCAGGCACAAGGCTTGGCTGTGTCTAGCCAAGAAGCTGCAAGGATAGCACCAGGCCCCTGGCTTGAAAGGTGCTGGTGAGTGTCTATGATCAGACCCTAGCTTCGTTTTTTAAGGAACAGCTGGTGAGGGTTGATGAGACGTTGGTGAAATAATGGAAATGCTGGGATGAGAGCAAGGTGGTAAACAGATTTGGGTGTCTGCAGACTTCCAGGAAATAGGACAAAGTGTGGGACAGCATATAAAAGCGTGTAGAGGAGAAAGCAGAGAGTGCCGTCAAGAAAGGAAGGCCCCAACAGTCCTGATGCTTTGGCTAGAGCTTATGAGAAGACGACATATAGTCATTGCAGTGCAGCCTCTTTGCTTCCTTGCAACCCTGTGCAGAGACAGGGAGGTGTCATACCAATGTTCATCTCATGGTATCACACAGCCCACCACATTCCTCAGACCTCCAGGAAAAGACCTGAGCCTGACAGGGGTGTGCAGGATCTCCCCTCACAGTGGCTGGGGTCAGGCCTTGGTTCTTCTGCTTCACTAAAACCAAGAAAGACCTTTCTCATCACAGTGCATTTGCCTGTCTGTAGCCATGGCCTCCAATTATCTTTCCTAATAAGTCTCTGGGGAGGCTTTGTTAGTAACAGCCCTCAGTGGGACCATTAATACTCCAAGTCACTTCAACTTTTCCTTCTGACTTTGCTTTTTCACAGAGTTCCATCATTCTCCTCTCAGTACCCAAGTTTCATTGACTCGGCACCAAAATACTCCATGGAACTCATTAAAACACAAAAACTCCTAAGGAGCCATATCTCTCCCACCACTTTCTTCAAGTATTCAAGACTTGTTCAGCTAATTGGAGAGATTTCATTTTCTAGTTAAGGGGGAAGATTTCAAAGAGCATCTTATAAAAATCTTTCCTCGTTGCAAAGACTGTTTCAGTTTAGAGCATCATTCTCCTGGTTATATTGGTCTAGGGTTTCTCCTTTGAAGCCCTGCTTAGGTGGGAAGAACAAGGGTTTTCCTATTTCAAAACAAACAACAGGAAATCATGCTGCAATTTTCAAAAAATAAAAATAAAATAAAATAATAATAATAATAAAAAAAAAAAACAAAGTTCAAGTTCCTAATTTTGTTGCCTCCAGTGATGTTTACTTTCCCAAAAGGATGACTGCACATGATGTATTTTACAGTGATTAATAGGAAATTTCAGATAATTGTGTTAATATTAATCCATATCATAATAATTCAATTATAATTGATGAGTGTCTTACTAAGGAAACCATTAGACAGACTGCTGAGAGATGGGCGAGCTTGAACTCACTGAAACTCCAAGCAGCAACTGGGTTGGTGAGAGTGGTCTGAATCATTAAAGAGTAAGGGGAGGGCAAACCAGGAAAATGATGGGAAGTGCATAGGTCCAGACAGACAGCTGGGAAAGGGGACATTCAGCTGTGTGACCGCAAGCAACCAGGGAAAACCTCCAGTGGCCTCGTTGTGTTTCAGGCACTTCCCTGGACTGGCAGATGTCATTAAAGACCTGCAGGAGGCCGGAGCCCTTTGGGAAAACCAGGTGAAGCCAGGTGGAGTTCCCAGGGCACCTCCACTGCTAGCAGTGGTCTTTGTCCCTGTAACTGCAGCCCAGCGCAGCACAGGAAACCCCTTCAAAAACAAACCTCTTCTTCAGTGGTGTCCTGGTACTGACCTAGATTTGAAATGGCCACTGGAAACCTGAGATACTCTCCCTTATTCCTAATAGACTTGTAAACATCCGTTAATCTTCCTGGGTCATCTTTAGCAAACTCAGGCTGATAAATTCAAGTTTAGCATGCTTCAAATGGCTGAGGCAGAACCAATCAGCTTGCCCCACTTTGGAAATGGCACCCGTCCAACTAAGGATTTGAAAGCAACAAATACGGAATGACCCGTGAGGACAATGTGCAGAGTAAGGGAAAATCACACATATTGTGCCTGAGTAGCAGAAGGCAAAAAGCATTGCATTGTGCCTCAGAATAATCAAGGAGACCTAATGCAGTTCATCCATGAGGAAAAGCAGAGAGAGAAGGACGTTGAGTTTGGCCTAACATGAAGAAGGATGTGCATCACTGGTGAAGGAACCGGCATTTATGCCATCATCAATGTGAATTACACAAGCACCAGCACACCGAATGGTAACCTGTCCGCCCCTGTTTGGTATTCCCACAGGGCAGGGGAAAGGGAGCCGACAGCCAAGGGACACATTTGGGTGTGGAAGGTGGGGCCCGGCAGAGACAAGGAGTCAAACCCGGGGCCAGGCGGGTGGCACAGCCCCATGCCCCATGCAGGGGCTGGCTGGGGGTCCCCTCTGCTGCAGCCAGCGCACACAGCATGGCAAGAGGAGGGCTCCCTGCACATCACAGGGCACAGCCTGGCCCCGTGGGGGCTCTTCCTGACATCCCTGCAGCTCCTGGCAGGTTGCGGTGAGGTGCCCCTCAGCCTTCCCTCCTGTGCTCCCAGGGCACAGGGCTGCCTCCTGCCCAGCTCACTGCCCACCATGAACGTCCAACACAGCTGCTTCCCAAGCTGGGTCTTGCCCAGGGTCAGTCTCCTGCAGGGGCAGAAAATGGCCCTTGTCCTGGTGGCTTTTCATGGTCTTCCTATCAATACATGCGCTTCTCATCCTTGAACTCTTTTTACTGAATACAGAGGCCTCGGTGACCATTTTGGTTCTGACTAATACCAAGAAAATATGTCTACTTCATCTCTGTCTGCTGCTATGAGCTGTCTGTGAGACATGGATTTGCTATCAGATCTTTTCCTCTGACAGTCTCAGCAATGCCTGGTGATTGGACAAGACATGGGAATTGCACACAGAAAAACACTTTTACTCTGAGCAACATCAAGAACTGGATCATGTTTCCAATACCAAGCACTTGATCAGGTTTCCCCAAAATGGGGGAGTCCTCCTCAACTGGAGATACCCCAAACCCAACTGGAAATGGGCCAGGGCTGCCTGGTGTAGGTGTCCATGTGTGGCTAGTGGGGGTGGCTAGATGGGCTTTGGAGGTCCCCTCCAAAGGCTGCAGGGAGGGAGTGCCTGCCAGGGCAGAAAGGGCAGCCCCAAAGGAGGACACCAGGGCTTTCCACCACGTTGTAGCAGGGATCTTCATCCCACAACCACCGCTGTACCTGAGAAGAGTGTATGAGAAATGAGATCCACAGAAACTGACTACCTGCTGGTTCCTTTATTTAGTTAGCTAGAAAGAGCTTCACAGCACCTCTACATGAGGTCTTTGGTTAAGAAGAAAAGGTAGAAGGAGATAGAGGAAGAAAAATATCTTAAATTTATAAAATGAAATTATAAAATTATTTACAATATTGGTATGATATTGAAACGGATGAGAATTTTTTGAAATATATGAACAAAGGTGTTTCTGCCTTCTCCAGGTATACTTCAGGGAATCAGATGCAGAAGACCATTTCCTTTTTGAAATACTGAATATTGCAATAACGTCCTCAGTGCCTCCTTGACCTCTTTATTCCTCATGCTGTAGATGAGGGGGTTCACTGCTGGAGGCAGCACTGAGTACAGAACTGCCACCACGAGATCCAGCGATGGAGAGGAGATGGAAGGGGGCTTCAGGTAGGCAAACATGACAGTGCTAAGAAAGAGGGAGACCACAGCCAGGTGAGGGAGGCACGTGGAAAAGGCTTTGTGACGGCCCTGCACAGAGGGCATCCTCAGCACTGCCCTGAAGATCTGCACATAGGACACCACAATGAAAACAAAACAACCGAAGGCTAAAGAAATACTAAACACAAGTGCCCCAACTTCCCTGAGGTAGGCATTTGAGCAGGAGAGCTTGAGGATCTGAGGGATTTCACAGAAGAACTGGTCCACAGCATTGCCTTGGCAGAGGGGAAGGGAAAATGTAGTGGTAGTCTGCAGGACAGCATTGAGAAAGCCACTGCCCCAGGCAGCTGCTGCCATCTGAGCACAAGCTCTGCTGCCCAGGAGGCTCCCGTAGTGCAGGGGCTTGCAGATGGCAACGTAGCGGTCGTAGGCCATGACGGTGAGAAGAAAAAACTCTGCACCCGCCAAGAAGGGAAAGAAAAAGACCTGTGCAGCACATCCTTGATAGGAGATGGCCCTGGTGTCCCAGAGGGCATTGGCCATGGCTTTAGGAACAGTGATGGAGATAGAACCCATGTCGAGGAGGGCGAGGTTGAGGAGGAAGAAGTACATAGGGGTGTGCAGGCGGTGGTGGCAGGCTACGGCGCTGAGGATGAGGCCGTTGCCCAGGAGGGCAGCCAGGTAGATGCCCAGGAAGAGCGCGAAGTGCAGGAGCTGCAGCTCGCGCGTGTCTGCGAATGCCAGCAGGAGGAACTCAGTGATGGTGCTGCTGTTGGGCATTTGCCTGTTTTGTGTATGTTGTCCTGCTAAGGGAACAGAAATATAGTGAAAATATATCAGGATTATCTGAGAAAAAACATTTCCATTTTTCAATTAAACCTCTCAAAGCATTTTCCGAACTGCACTTAGACAGTTGGCAGATCCCTTTCCTTCATTGGTTTCAGTTGTTCTCTCCAGTACAATCCAGACAATTCATTGTCATGAAACCTGCCTCCCCTCCATACTAGAAGCACAGAATCCAAGAAAGTCTTCTGTTTCAGATAAACCAAGCCTCGATCTTCCTGTTAAAATGCCCCCTCAAAAATACTATTCCGTAAAACATCTTCTATGCCACATTACAGGTAGAATAAGACCCATCCTGACAGATACTATCAGCCATTGGATGTGCCAGCTGTAGAAGACCCCTCTGGCAACCCCACCTGCAGTGCCCTGCTGCCAGAGCCTCACGGTGTCAAGAGCCTGCAGATGTGTCCTGCCACACGCTGCCCTCTGTTGTTGTGCTCCTCAGTGCCTCCAAGCCCTCTCTCCTTCTGTCCTCTCTGTGTGCCAGCTGCGGTCAGAGCCCCCAGCCCTGCTGCGCTGTGCAGAGGAGCTGCTCCTGGGCACAGCTGTCTCTCTGCAGCGCTTGCCAGGAGCTCCCCTTGGACCCAGGAGCCTGGCCCAGCTCAGCAGCCCAGCACCCGACCATGGCATCGCTTGCTCTGTGCCCTTGGTCTCCCTCGAGGTGTCCCCAAGGCCTCAGGGCTGACAGCTCCCCAAGGCAGCAGGGTCTCTGCTGGAGTGTGCTCATTGAGGCAGACTGAACTGATCATCTACTGCTCCTCTCTGAACACAAGATTTTTAGAAGTGTGATTTGCGCTGTTGGACTGTGATTGTCAAACATGATGTGCTTTAACCTGGCAGGCAGCTCAGCACCACACAGCTGTTAGCTCACACCATCCCCCCCAAATTCTTATAGGTTGAGGTCAGTGCAGTTGAAAGGACTGAAATGGTAGAGAAAGAATTATAATAGCAATTATTTTTAGTACTATTATTGTTATGTACAAAGCAAGCTATGCACAGTGCAATTGCTCATTACTGACTGATGTCCAGCCTGTCCCCAACTGGTAGAACATTCTGGTAACCATCTGCACCTGCTCTTCTTTGACCTTCATCAAGTCCACAAATGGAAGGGTCCTCCCAGGGACTGGGAAAGGTAGACAGCTCTTTAACATCCTCTCTCTCGAAGGCAGCTATCCCGAAACCCCACCTGGACCCTTTTGGATCTTAGAAGTACCCTCTCGTGGGGAAGTTTATGTCAAGGTTTCATAGATCAACATTCTTCTCCCTCCTTTCTTTTCTGGGCAGTAGTTCTCTTCCATTCTCAGGGGCCTGATTTTCACACCCTCTGTTTTCTCCTGCATATAGAGGGAACGAATCCTGGCACAGGTTGGTGCTCTGGCCTAGCAAGAGCAGACCTGGGGAGTCTGGTCTAGTCTGGGGCCTGTCACAGTGGCTGGAGTGGCTGCGGGACATGTCAGAGGTGTTGGAGTAGCTGCAGGGCCTGTCCCAGGGCTTGGAGTGACACTGACCGAGGCTCCCTTTGGGATTCCCTTTGGAATTGCCAAGGTGATAACCCCTCCTTTTCAAGCACTTCTGCAGCTTTTAAGGATTCTGCAAGTGCTCAGGGGGGAAGTTTCAAAGCACCGGAGGTGCCCACTGCTCTAGGTGCCTGCCCAGATCCTCCCATGCTCCCTGCCACTCCTAACTCTCCGGCCTTGGGGCAGGTCTCTGGAGGGCATTCTTCAAGAGTTGTTTATCCTTAAACAACAGTTGAAACACATTCAGGAGACATCACAATAGGACCATGCCAGTGATGTTCTCAGCTTTGTAGAGCTAGTGTAATTAGCCTGGAGGAGAAGGGGAAGGTAAAGGAGAGAGTGAAGAAGTGGAGAAGTGTCGCTCCTGTTTCTCCCCCTAGATTGGCTCCTTAAAGCAAAAAGGTCAAGAGTATAATTCTTAAGTTTCTGAGTGATGGTTCCTGAGGTATGGAGGTAATGGCATTGCTCAGTACAAAGAATGGATTTGTCACATGACCAATAATTTTATAGAATCATAAGCCAGTGCTACACAACATAGCAAAATATCTTTAAACCAGACCCAGAAATGACAAAGAGCACAATGGGAACACAGGCAGCAAGTAATGTGCTATACAACACATTTCTGAAAACTGGTACTACTCAGCACCAGAGAAACCTTAGAGCAATCTTCCAGTACTTAGAGAGGACCTACAGGAAAGCTGGAGAGACAGTCATTGTCTGGGAGTGTAGTGATGGGACAAGGAGAAATGATATTTAACTAAAAGAGGGTAGGTTTAAATTGGATATATGAAAGAAGCTTTTTCCTCTGAGGATGGTGAGGCCTCAGAGGAAAAAGCTTCTTCCACATATAAGAGGGGTCAGCCTCTTCTCTCAGATAACTAATGATAGGACTTGAGGAAAAGGCTACAAGTTGTGCCTAGGGAGATTTAGATTAGATATCACAAAAACCTTTTTCTCTCACAGAATAATCAGGCACCGGAATGGTCTGCCCAAGGAGGTGCTGGAGTCACCAACCCTTGCACTGTTCAAGAAGCACCAGGACAGGGCGCTAGGAGATATGACTTTGTAACTTAGTGTGTAGAATTAGCGATAGTTGGACTAAATGATCTTGTAGGTCCTTTCCAACTTTGTGTTTCTATGATTTCTGATTCTATGGTAGGACAAGAGGAGTGGTTTTAAACTTAAAGAGGGTACATTTAGAGTAGATAGTCAGATGAAATTCTTGACTTAAAGGTGAGGCACTGGAACTGGTGCTGTGGGTCCAGAGATCACCCAGGGGGAGTTTGGATCAGCCCATGCCCTTGTGTTTGAAGGAACAGCTGGTGAGAGTGGAGAGGCAGCAGTGAAATCATGGGAACAGCAGAGTGAGAGCAAGGTGGGGAAGAGAAGTGGTTGTCTGCAGCCTTCAGGGAAGTGTGGGACAGCACAAGAAAGCATGCAGAGGAGAAGGCAGAAGGCTCTGACAAGAATGGAAGGCTGCAGCAGCACTCACATCTTTGTCCCCTTGGCCATGGCTTAGGAGGAGACGTGTTATACCCATGGCATTGGGACCATGAATTCTCCTTTCAACCCTGTGCAAATGCTGGAAGGTGTCATAGCATTGCCCTTCACATATGGTATTGTGGGCATCACCCCCTACCCCACAAACCCCAGGAAGAGCCCTGAGTGAGACATAGGGGTGCTGGGGATGCAGAATCTCCCTTCCCAGTGGCTGGGGTCAGGCCTTGGCCCTTCTGCTTCAACAAAATAAACTGAGATTTTCTCAGCACAGTGCCTTTGCCTGTCTGTAATCATGGCTTCCAGTTATCTGTCCTAACAATTCCCATGGGAGGCTTTGTGAGGAACAGAATAGAATAGGCAACAGAGTATAGAGTATTCTAATACTACAGAATAGTGTACCCAACAGAGGTGAGACAAGTACTCTGATATAATGACAACCATCAGTAAATTGATCCCAGTTAGATGACTGATATGGGGAGGTCAGGAGTAGCCTGGCCAGGAGAGATGTGAGATTTGGGGAAGGGAAGAGAGGGGAAGAGGAGCTCGGAAGCTTACTTTTGTAGAGATAAGAGGGCTCCTGTAATGTTGATGCTGCTATAACACTGACTTCAAATAGTTCTGTAGGGCCTGTAAACTATTTTTAGCAGTAACAATAAACCCTCAACCTAAACATTAGTGCAAGATCCTGACAGGAGTCCACTATTGTAAAGCAGAACACAAAATATCATCTAAAGAAAAACTCAGCCTGTAGCCTCCTTTTCTTCCCTTTACTCTCTTGCTCACCATGATCCCTGCCCTTAACACTACCATTAAAATGCTCTATTTATCCCTAGACTTCTTGCCAGACAGAAACAAAACCCTTAACCATAATGCTTGCCCATACTGTAACCAGAAACATGACAGCACAAACAGAACACCATATCTTTCAACAAAAACTTTGCTTAATCTCTAACCCAGAAAGGTAAAATCTAGTCCCTACGAGACAAGAGAGAGGTGAGCTCTGCCTCAGAATCTCCTGCCCCAGCAGCAGGAATGTGACTGTGGCAGGGACTGTGAGGTCACTTCTGTCTCTGCACTTGATAGGGCAGCAGCAGGAACGTGTCATGGAACGGGACTGTGACGTCACCTCTGCCTGTAAGCGGTAGGACACCCTTGACTTTTGAGAAGTCAAGGCACTTGCTTGACATGCTGACTGTGGGATCCCCTCTGCCTCCAGAGCCAGGAGGACCCAGGCAGAAAGAAGGCCCCAACATGGGTTGTCCTGTCCCTTCTGCTTGAGTCCATGACTGCACAGCAGCAGCAGGCACAAGGCTTGGCTGTGTGTAGCCAAGAAGCTGCAAGGGCAGCAGCAGGCCCCTGGCTTGGAAGATGCTGCTGAGGTGACTTGTGTGTGGTTGGCTGAGAGGCCGCAAGGAGCCTGCTGGGTTGGGATGCGTCCTCCAGGAGGGTTTTCCACCACAAAGATGCCATGGGAACAGTGGTGCTTTCTCACAAGGAACCAGGCCAGCTTCCTAGAGAGCTGCCTTATGAGATCTTTGG